GGGGCTTACCACACCTCCGCGTACCCCAGGAAACTCCTTGACCTGTTGTGCCTCTTTCCTCAGCTCAGCATCTGTGTCCCCGGCACTTTTCTGTGCTCCCAGCTCCCTGCCCCTCGTTCTGGCACAATACCTTTATTCAGCATCTTTTACTAACATGTCAGTTTAAGGAGCTTTGCTTTCTACTGCCATGCCAATTAAGTCGCTCTCTCTTTGCTGCTTAATTGCCAGGGGGTTTTGTCAGGCAATGAAGAGATTTCTGAGATCCCTTCTCTTGCAAAAGCCCTTTGAGAAGGGAGTTTGAGAGGCCCCTGGAATACCCAGATGCCCTGTCTGGTCCCTGGAAATGGTTAATGATTAACCTCTTTGCCACCTCCCAGACTTAGCCTGGGCATTTTCTTTTTATGCTTCAGTTTTTGGTTTTTGTTTCCAGTTTTTTCTCTCTCTCTCTCTCTTTTTTTAAAGGAAGAAGTGGTGTTTTTATTCCCTGTAAGAAAGAGTAAGCTGGAAGGAGAGTTCTGTTGCAGAAAACCTTGAACAATGCATTAGACTAGAATGAACAGAACAGTCTCCCCTGCAACAGCGAGCGACCCAAACCCGTTGGGTTCTGCTGTGATGCACTCTAGTTTTTCTTGCCTCAACGCATGTAGTTTATAGCTGGATGGGTTTTCCTTCGTCTCCGCACCCCGCGGAGATTTTAATGATGACACCTGGTTAGCCTGTGCTTTATCGTGGCTGAGCCATTCCCTCAGTTACGACCCCATCACTGGGTTTACAGGAGTTTTACTTGGTGTTGATCTTGGCTCTGTCCATCCACTGAGACTTCATGATTGGTAACGGGCTCAGGCAGAGTGGAGGCTGTAGAGGTTTTATTCTCTCAAATTCATGGCACAGCGCTCTCGGGAGCCGTTGCTCTGTCCCTGTTACTTGTCTTCAGGCATGACCACAGGTTTGAGTCGAAGCCTTTGGGTTTGTGTGGTTTGCATCAGTGACAGAGGGGGCATGCAGGACCGGTGGGGTGGCCACCACCTTGCTAGCCCCCCATTTTCAGAGACAAGATCAGTCAGGCCGAGGGAGCTCGGGCAGCACTGCCGTGAGGTGAGAGTGGTTGTTAGGTGCTGCCCTTCTCTAAATCCCCTCTTTCCTGGTGAGAGGTTTATCTTTTTTTGGACTGTTTTGCCCAAACCAATTCACTCCCCCGGTGCTGTGATCGAGAGAGCAAGTCCTCATCTGCTCCCTGTTTCAGGACGTGACAGTAAAACCTAGTAGCCAAGGACTTTGAGACACAGTCTCCCTTTCTTTTTCCCTCTCCACCAGGAAAAATCGCTCTAAGTGTCTGGTGCACTGCAAAATGGGTGTGAGTCGGTCTGCTTCTACAGTCATAGCTTATGCAATGAAGGAATTTGGCTGGTCCTTGGAAAAAGCCTACAGTTATGTCAAGCAAAAACGCAGCATTGCAAGACCAAATGCGGGTTTCATGAGACAGCTGTCAGAGTACGAAGGCATTTTAGATGCAAGGTAAGATGCTGACCAGAACGTCTCCCTGGGGAGCAGGTAGCAAGTTACCATTGTGTGTGGGTCCCTTCACTGCTAAAATTAAAAAAGGAAAAAAACAGTTTAAAATTTTCAGAGCTGGTCAGAAAATGGGAAGCAAAAAAGTCTCCAGGGAAACCAGTTTTTGGTTTCAGGAACTATTTTGAAACCAATTTTGGGCAAAAACCATTGTGGAAATGTTAACAACAAGCAGAAAGTTTCAGTAGCATCAAGGGTTTCTCCTGAGACAGCACGCAGATGTTAGGTTCTGCCCATGCTGGTCAGGACCTGGGTTTAATTAGGCACAGATGAGATGATCATATACACGCAGCAGCCCAGGCTGGGGAGCAAACCACCAGGACTGGCAGCGTTCTTGAGCCAGCCAGCTGTGTTTGAAAGGTGGCAAGGAAGAGCGCGAGTGAGTGAGTTCCTTGGTTTCAAATCCCAGCTGTTGGAGGCCACTTTCAGTGGAAACTTCATCTCTGCATAGCTTCCTGTTTCTTTTGGGTGGGGGCAGGGGGTGTCTGCTGCGGTTGAATTTGCCCTGTGACCCTGTGCGAGGCGAGTGTGCCTCAGCTGTTGGAAGGGGCATCTGCTTCTGGTGTGAGGGGCAGCTCAGGAGGGTTCATCTCCCCTATGTATGTCCCCAGTGGAGGTCTCAAGCTACCTTTGGTCTCAAGGACTCATGCTTTAGATGAAATCCTGAAGTCAGGAGTTTCTCCTTGAGCCTCTCATGTCCCACGTGTCTTCATCATGCCAGGTGTCTTCATCTGGAAGCCTTTTTCCTGCTGCTTTCCTACCAGATGAAGCCACACTGTTCTCTGTTTCTTCACTGGGTGCCTGTCCCTGGTATTCCTGCAGTGGGTCATGCTACCTGCTGATGTGCTCCAGGCCTTCCCAGTCACAGCTGCTGGGCTCTGGGACCCTTGCCGTCCTATTACATTTCTTTGTTGAATTAAATGAAATGTCCCACTCACCCTACAGCTGGGCCTCAGTTGCAGCTGGACTGCTGCTTCCAGCCTGCTTAGTGCTGCCACTGCCCTCTAGGATGGGGGGATCCAGTTGGGGTTGCCTGTTTCCTCCAGAGGGGGGTGGGTCTTGTATGGTGAGTTTTGTTGCAGTCACTCGTGTCTTCTCCTTTCCCCCCCACCAGCAAACAACGCCACAACAAGCTGTGGAAGCAGCAGGCAGAGAGCAACTTGCCACCGAGCACGGACGGCTCCCCAGGGTCCAGTGCCTTCCTCCTTGAAAGCCTGGACATCGATCTGGAAAACCGGCTGGTTGACCTGGACGCGCCTCTGTCGTCCACCTACTTGGACAACCGAGGCAGCATAGAGGCTGGGGAGCTCAGCTACTGCTTCCGGCGCCTCTCTGACACGCTGCTGGAGAACAAGCAGCCTGGTGACAGGGCGGGGCTTTTCCAGGTGGAGGACCTGGAGCGGGATGCCATTTCGGAGCAGGTGAAGTCACCCGCAGGCCAGCCTCCTCCTCCAGCACTTCCTGCGGATCCCATGAAGGCCAAGGAGAGCATGGAACCGTTGGCTGAGCTGAGCGGGTTCTGTGAGAAGGAAGTGAAGAAGAAACTGGAGCTGGGCATCCAGAAGGCTTGGAACGCTCCCGGGCAAGTGGACGGCGGGGAAGGGAGCCCCCGGGAGGAAAACCCCACAGAGAGGTGGAAGAGGCGCTTGTCTGTGCACAGGGAAGAAAGCCGGCTCAACAGAGAGAACTTAAATAACAACAACAGCAAGCGGAGCTGCCCGGAGGATTTTGAGGTGCGTATGGGACCGGGATGTGGCTGATTCACGCGCCTCGCTCCGCGTGCATGAGACTGCCTTGCTCATCCTCCTGGCGCCGGTCATTTGGGGTTGGAAGTAGCGGCTCCTGTCGTAGTGCTTGACCCGGGTCGAGCTGTTCCGCATAGAAGCGCTTCCCAACGCTGCTTTGCTTGTAGGAGCCGTGGAGCCGGACACCCCAGGGAACGTGGGGCCACACCGATGTGCTATAAAGCCTCTCAGAGCGACCTCCTTTGTGGCCGTCGGTTGAAACGGTGGGTTTCCCTCCGCTCCAGATGCTACTGGAGCCGGGATTTGTTTCCAAGTCCCTTGGGCCTTCACAGCCATTCCTTTCCTCTTCTGCCACTTCCCTTTCAACCTGCCAGGCTGCCTTATTTTCCCCTCTGTCCTGTTCCAGTAGCTTAGTGAATCTGACCTCTTTCTGCCTGTTCTTTCCTTTCTTAGCACGATGCCATATTCGGGATCCTCAGCAAGGTCAAGCCTTCCTACCAGTCTTGTGCTGACTGCATGTATTCTGCAGCCCGCGCCTCCCCAGACACCTTCGGGGAGCAGTGCGAGAAGCTGAACCTGGCCGCGGCTCACCGCACCTCTACCATCTGCACCCAGCCAGTGCTTCTCTCCCACCTGACTGCTCACCTGCCAGACCAAATGCCAAGCAGGCTGCGGCCTGGGGAAGCAATCAGAGCTAAACTCGATATCGTGCCTCCTTTGGTCGAGGGGATGAGTGTCACGGACATCAGTCCTTGCAAATCTGTGGCCGGGCAGCCCAGCGGGATTCCAAAAGAGGCCACCAAAACACCTGTCAAAGCCCTGGTTGCCAGAAGGAACTCGCTGGGCGAGAAGAGCCCTCTGAACCCTGATGCCTTGAAGGAAGAGGCCCCATCCAGGAAGGATGTCAAACCAACCAAGGACCTGAAGTATTTGCTGTTCAGCAAAGAACTGGAGAAGCCCACTGCGAACAGTTACCTGATGCAGCATCAGGAGTCCCTGATCCAGCTCCAGAAGGCAGGCTTGGTTAGGAAGCATACCAAAGAGCTGGAGCGGCTGCAGGGAGCACCACTGGAAACCTCAGCCCTGGTACGAGAGAGCCCCTTGAGCAGACCTGACGTGGGTCCGCTGGAAGAAAACCAAGACTCGGCTGCCCGCCAAGGCCCAGTGCCTCTGCTTAGGCCAGCGTCTTTGCTGTGCGAAGGCGCAGAGAACAACGTGCAGAAGTTAGAGGCCAAATGTTCCTTTGAGGGAACGCCGCAGAAAACCTCGACCCCTCTTGTGTGCCGACTGGAGCACATGAGCAGTTACACCAGGGACTTCCTGAAGACCATCTGCTACACGCCCTCCTCTTCCCGGAGCTCCAACTTGACCCGCAGCTCCAGCAGCGACAGTATCCACAGCGTGCGTGGGAAACCTGGCCTGGTGAAACAGCGAGCTCAGGAAATCGAAACCAGGCTCCGGCTTGCTGGCTTGACTGTTTCCTCCCCCCTGAAAAGGTCCAATTCTCTCGCCAAGCTGGGCTGTCTGAACTTATCCTCTGAGGACTTATCGAGCGACATGGATGTGTCCACGCTGACGGACTCCAAGGAGGCCATTTCGAGCGAGTCTTCCGTGCTCTGCGACTCGCAGGCCACTCTGAGATGCGTGGCCGTAGGCTCCAAACTCAAAGCAAAGTCAACTATGGACAACTTGAAGAGCACGCTTTGGATGGGCAAAAGTTGACACATTCTGTCCTCTTTGTCTGTCTGTCTGTTTTAAATCGACATTTACGGCCTGCACCCAATGCAATTTTATCATCGGTAACAGTCATGCATTTGACAACCTCTTTCTCCTCGCAGGTGGGGGGAAAGGGGACGCTGATTGATTGGAATGAACAGCACGAGGAAGAAACCATAACGCATGGCTTGGAAGAAGACTTTGTGTGTGTGGATTGCCTACTGCTCCTCTGACCCACACTTCCCAGGACTGTTTGCCAAGTATAATAATGTTGCATTTATATATGTGTATATAAAATGCTGAAAATTTCTGTTTGAAAGTCTCAACAAAAGAACTGATCACAGCATTTTATTTTATTTTTGTGTGCACAAAGCAAACATAGCACAAGTCTTTCGTTCCAACAGCACTTGTGGAGAACTCCATAGATGGTGACATAAACACTACCTCTGTTCTGGTTGATATCTGGTCTCGGTTTATTATTTTTAGAAGCCTTTTCTTTTTCTTTGCAGGATATTTAACATTTTTTTGAAAGGCATTTGTGTGTGACATGTACTGTAAAGACCCAAATGAGTGTGGAGGGTGTAGGCTTCACTGCACTGAGTTCCTCCTCATTAGGAAGTCATGCAAAGGAGCGTAAAGCTGTGTTCATGTTGACCAAGTGATCTGCTGACCAGTCGGTCCCTGTGAGTTGTCCTAGTCCCGTATTCATAATGGAGTGACATCTAGGCTTGCGTGTTTTTGAACTTCAAATGGAGAAGGTGTCTTGTTCTTCAGGTATTATTGCTGTTGTCGTGGTTTATGACTGTCCCAGTAATAAGAATGAGCCTGGCCAGTAGGTGACCGTGACCCATTGTGAGATGTATGTGATGCTGGAGTCGGTGTTGTACTTGTGCTTTGGAGAACCTACTGCACTGAGCTGCTGCTGGCACGAGTTGCAGATTAGATGATTACTGACTTGCGTCCTGCTGTGACAGGCGGTAGCCAGGCTTACTGGTGTTCAATGCATTTGACACATAAGGAGGTATTAGGCAAATTTTGTTTATTATATATATATATATAATATTATATTTTTTGGTAGAACAGTTCCTGCATCCTGGAGTTTGCAGCAGTACTGCAAAGCAGCAGCAGCAGGGCTAGCTCAGGAAAGTGCATGGTTGTCACCGAACTCGGAGGCCGTTTACAAACCTTTCTAGGGAAAATCCAAGGGGGCTATTTATTGTGATGGTGGTGGGGCTGCGTGGAAGGGAGCGTGCCCTCGCTCCTGTTCTGTGTCAGTAGTGAACAACATAGGGGCTGGCTAAGCTGAGCAGCCTCCTCCCAATCGCTCTGAAAATCTTCAGTTCTGCTCTCAGATGCTGCTCCCTTGGGCTATGCTGGTCTCATGTTGTCCTTCCAACGGCAGAGGTTGGGGCAAAGGCCAGGACGGGGAGTTTTGCTAACCTCACCTCAGTGGACTATTGCAATAACTCAGAGAGGATAAGCCAAAAGCTAGAACAGTGTCCCAAGCCTTTAACAAGCATTCATTCTTCCACGTGGTGCTGCTAGCTTCGCCTGCTGACACAAAGGCATTGCAGCCTCAGTCCTGGCCCTGCAAACTCATTAGCTCCAGCAGTACAGGACCCGGCCCCTGGCTGTACAGCTCCTTCCTTCACCTGCCGCTGAGGCCTGCTGTCCATCACAAGTGTCGAGACTGCCCTGAAATTCTGTTCCCGTTTGGGTCTTCTTCCAGTTCCCAGTGAAGCACTTGAATCGGAGGACATTGGGATGCAGTGCTGCAAATTAATGTGAAAATGGGGCTGACCACAATGAGTTAAACAAGTGAGATATCTAGAGGGACCCATCTGTGCTTGAGTTCGATGTCCCTCAGCAAAGGGGCGATGACACGTCTGTAGCTGCCATGATGCTCCTTAGAGCGTCGCCAAGAACCAAGGTCCCATCCACCTGTTCTTGCTCTAAGCCAGAAATAAGGCAAGGTGTGACTGCCGGCAGAGTTGTCGGGAGCATTGTGGCAGTGGTGCAGATGCACCCTTACCATGTCACGGCCCATTGCAGATCCAGTCCAGATCAATATTTTGGTACGCCAGTCCTCTCACGCTGCTCCGATGGCAGCAGACTACAACGGTGTAGTTGACCACGGATGCTGCGTTCGGTACAATCATCTTTCCAGCCTGCTGTGGAGAAGTCTGCTCTTAAAAGACACCATCGTGCTCTGTATTTTTGCCAAATTCAGAGAAAAAAATGTTGTGAAGCACCTAAGTCCCGGGTTCCAAAATGCCTCAGTCACTGCAGCTTCTCAGACTCGTTGCAAGTCATTTGGACATGAACTTTTGGGTGACTTACATGCTTCTGAAAATTAGTCTAGGGTAGCATTTTAAAAAAGGCCTAAATCCTATGTCCTAGGTTAACTTTGGTGTCAAACCGACGCATCTCTCGTACTATGCAGTTTTAGTGGCCAGGTGGGTGAGAGCCAGAACTGTACTTTAAGCGTTTCCATGTGAAAGCTGTTTTTGCCGACACTGCACACCCATCCTTAGCTCACGGCCGCTTTGCCGTTTCACACAGGGAAGGTTGTTTCACGTTAGCAAAGCAAAAAAGCATCACCAGCAAACGGCACTCTGAGGGTCTTTTGGGGGTGTGAAACATTGGGTTCACACTTATCCTGGTATTGGAGAAAACTCTCCTGGCTCAGAGAGTTGGACTCTCCCTTAGCTGCTCCATGCTGTCATTTGCTGACTACAGATCTTCAGCTGTGCGTTTTGCACAGGCATGTCTCTCGATGTTGTGGTTGCCATAGTTTTTTGCATTGAGTGACTTAATTGAACTGTTGTTTCTGTGACGTGTTTCTGAAGTCAGTGCTGACCAGTTCAGTCCACTACACTGTGAATTCCCTGGCGCACATACCCGCCGTCTCCCACCCCAGTGAAGACATTTCCATTTCACTTTATCTGGGCTTGAGGGTAGATCAGAAATATCAGCACGGTTACATGCCTAATGTTCAGGTACCGTGGGTGCATTTCTAGGTCCCAACACGCGTCGTAGATTTTTATCATCTTACTATGTTTGTTCGCACCTAGGTGAAAAATGGATTGGAGGGATTAGGGGATGGCGGTGGGCACAAAGGAGACAGCTTGCCAGGTACTTGACGTCTGCCAGAGTTTCTTCAGAGCCTGTTAGCCCATGTGAAATGGCTCATACTGAAGGTATTTATGTTGTCAGTACGTCCACCAGCTCCCCCAGAGTCCAAGTATTGTGCTTGAGGCTTGAACGCAGCACAACAGCTGGGATACAATGGGAGCCATGAGAGTTGGTTGCACAGTTGTTCAAGTTTTGCAAATCACTGACACATTCCTTCTTTGCTACGGGGAGGTCTTTCTTCAGACAGCTCCCTTTCCCATGCGACACAGACGAGCCCTATCATCTTTTGCCCAAGCCTGTGGCATTGGAGAACAGATTCTAGCCTTTTTTGCATTATGTTTAATGCGTCTCTTCCCATATCCTGTTTCTCTATTTTGTTTCTGCCCTCTTCACCCAAATAACCCTCAAGGGTCCTTAAATAGTGCCATGCTCGAAGAACAAGTGGGCTAGGACTGCCCTGTTTTCAGCGGGTCTGCTTGAGATGGTACACTGTGGGGATGCGCACACCCCATCCTCCGCATTGCTAGGGCAGAGACCATCCGCTAGGGAGTAAGAGCGCGTTGCAGTGTAGCGCGATACGTTGCAGCACAGCGGACGACATCCCACTGCAGAGTTTGTTCCCAACCGTGCTGTTGGCTGACTGACCCGCTGTCGCTCTTATGAGACGAGGAGCTTAGACCTGAAGCCCCAAGGATTTCTAAGACACGAGTGAATATAGTGTTTCCTTCCTGTTTTCTTCTTGGGTGCCTGCCAAATTCGACTGCTCCTTCTCCTTGTACTTCTCCCATTGACTGCTCTTCCCAGGTGGTGATTTGAACTCAACCGTCTGGTTGCCCATGGCTGTGCCACCACTTCCACAACATTGCTCATCAAGCTTGAAACCCCATTGCTGCTTAGTGCGATGCTATACTGTCAGGATTAGAGAGGTAGCTAGTTCGTTTCCTTTCGTTTTCTTTTTAAAGCCATTTTATGCATAGAGGGCCCTAGCATGCCATTCCAGAGTTGTTGCAGCCAAAAGATGCAATGCCTGCCGGCTGCATTAGACTTGTTGCATGAGAAGTTAGCTGTTTCCTTTCCCTCCCGTGTATTGTAACTGTTCTTTTCCAATTGAGTGCCTTAATAATAGTTTACATATACCGTATCTTTCTGCCGAGCTGTCAGACTCTGCTGCTTCGCTGTTGTTCTGGTGCTGTGGTGTCTTTAGTGGCAGTCAGACCGTGACTACTTGCGTGTACCTTCCCTGTGTGACGCCTGTCACCCCTGAGCTCAGAGCCACTAACGGATTCGCCTTCCCTATAGCGGGGCGTACGAGCAGACAGATCCCAGTCCCTGTTGCCCCATCCTTGTTTTGATGTATCTATGCATAGCTGCCGAAAGCACAGGCCGGGGTGTGGGGCTTGACGAGACGTTCCAAAGACGGAAGGCCATCGTTCCTCGGGGGCGCGTTGCGAATGCCATCGCAGCCAAGGCGCGCCCCAACGTCAGATCCGAAATGCACAAACTGGCACCTTATTTCCAGCCTATGCTTCTTTTCTTTTCTTTCTTTTTTTTTGGTCGTCGTCATCATTCCGTGTTTTAGAGAGCGCCTCATCTTGGCCTCGCGCGTTCTTTAATTCAATGATGTCTCCGTTCCCATTCCAAATGTCGGCCTGTTCTCCTCGCCCAAGGGTGGACTCGGCTCCCCGGCTAGTGCCCTCATTAGGCAAACTCCAGACGTGAAAGGGCAGACGACTGCCGTGTCGCTGTTTCAGTGCATTGCTGTACTCTGACGGTATCCACGTTCCTTTTGTTCTGGTGTATTTCTTAAGTCTGGTTTTTATATATTTAAATATGCAGTATCTTTTGTACTGTACCTTTGCAGTAGGGGATGCATAATGCACTTTTTTTTTTACTTTGGTTTGTAAAAGTGTACTGTATATTTTATGTGCTTCTTGTGAGAAAAATAAACTTGTTTTTTTTTTCTTTATGAGTTAAGTTCGGCACCACCTTTTGAAACCCGCTTCCGCAGCTCAAAGCTCATGTCTCCACACCACAGGCATCCAAGCTGTTGGCAGTCAGTGTCCATCCATAGACGTCACTGCCTCTGCCTGTTCTCGTTCAGGAGCATTACTCGTGTTAAGGACGAGGTGTGGGATGCTGCTCATTACAGGTCTGGAGCCAGATTCTGATCTTAATGGTCACCCCAGTGCTGCCACCTCATCAGAGCCAGCCGGAGGAGCTGGAGCGGTGTAACTGAGAACAGGATCTGACGCAGGACCAGTTGGTGTCGGAGGCCTGGATGCGTGATGAGGCGGATGGAAATGACGTGTGAAGTAGTGCAAAGGTGTGGGAGGTGGGTGTAGGGTAAAGCTGCCTCCTGCCGTCCCTCTCGCACACGTTATCACCCAACCGCCTCGCGTGTTGACTGTTGCTCTGGTTTGCTACAGTCCCCAAGAGCAGAAGCAAAGCTCTTTTCCACCTCCTTGTTGCTGCATCACTTGCACCAGTGGCAAAAGCACCGCTGAATCTGGCTCCGCAGTGTCCGTGGGAATGGCACCTCGAGTCTGGACCCCATCAGATCTTGCCCAGTGTGATCCCTGACACCTTCCTCCCTGAATCCTGAGTCGCCTGAGCCAGTACCCACAGGCAATGAGACAGTGCCTGCAAACAAAGGGACTGGGTTAAATTGATTCTGCAACACCAGGCGCTGGTGGGTAAAGAAAGCCTAAAGCGCTGGGACCTGAGCCACCACCCAAGGAGAACCTGTCAGATGCTCAGCTTTGCAGAGCATCTTACCAAATAGCAGCTCAGATACAAGGAGCATAGTGTAGGTTCAGGCAGGTCCAACGCCCAGTAAGGCACTAGAAATGCAAAAATCTAGAACTCTTGGTTCAGAAATGATACCTTTTATTAAACCAACTAGGAAATCGCAAAATATATATATTTTTCTGCAAGCTTTTGGGCTCAAAAACACCCTTCATGAGGCTCTGGGAAAATTAAAGATGGTAAAGAGTCTCCGTAGGTAGGAAATAAACTTCATTTTTGCACAGAGGGAGCTGGAGATGGAAATCTGTCCCTCTGGGTCCATGAGAGTGTCTTTGTGGGTTGTTCCGAGTTGCTCTTTGTTGCGTAGATCACATAGGATTAATGTGAAGGCGCTAAGCCCCTTTGTCAAGGGGCTGCATGGCCTTCTCTGCCTTTGACCCAGGCCCGTCAAATCCCAGCTGACATGGTAAGAAGAGACCTGGGCTTTAATGTCTTTTCCAGAGGACAAATCCCTGGCATTTAAGCAGACAAATTGTATGTTACGAGCTGACGCTGGGCTGTGGAGCCCATCGTGAGATGAGTCAACTGGGTTGCAGATCGACGTTCCATGCAGCATGGGCTTGGCCTTTCCAGGGCTTTCACCAAATTTTGCCTTTAAAGGCAAACAGTGCACGGCCGCCTCTGCTGCCTGCAAGGAGTCTCGTTGCTGCTTGGAATCGCTCTTGCTCTCTAACGGCTCGGGGAAGAGCATGTCAGTGTTTACGTTGGCAGTGTAACAGAGCAGGCAGAGGATGCTCTCCAGCACTGGCATGCTGGGAAAGCCATTAACCCCACCAAGAAATGCTGCCTCTTAAATGACATTTTGATTTTTCTGTAGTTGATCAGGCTCCACTTTGGTAGCTTTGGAGACTGGCATTCGCCACTTCTTCACCGATCAAGAGCAACGTGGGCAGTGGCAGTGCCCGTGTGGACTGCTGGTAACCGCCAAGGGAGGTCTGCTGGGGAGTGGAGAGTCCATAACCACTGAGGCTGCCCATGTGTTTTTGTGCCCAGATGGTTTCTCTGGAACAGATTTGAGGGTTGGCGTTAATCTGGCTTTTCAAAACCCGGAGTGTAAAATGTTTAGGCTGGAAAGTTCCTCGCAATGAGCTAACTCACTCATCCAGCTCTCCTAGGCCTCACAGGATACCCCAAGTTTCCGTGAAGATCGTGAGCTGGGTTTAAATGCAGGTATTAACACACCAAGTGTTGTGTTGCAGAGAGATTTGGAGCAGGAAGCAGGGCTGGGAAGATTTTGCACCTGCTCTAAATTTACAGCCCTCAGAGACGCTGCACCCCTCTGTACTGCTTTGTGGACCTGATTACTTTGTTTTGCCAACTGGCACGATTTTGAGCTACGCTTGTGCCCTTCCCGAAAGTCATCCATGGGGGAAGATGAGCCCATTGGGCAGGAATTCACCACCTGAGTGAGCAGCATCTGTCTGGAAATGTAGCATGGCCAAGCGCTGGAAGCCAGAGCAGGAGCTGTGGTTAGGTCTGGGAGGCCTGGGGCCAAGGCAGGACTGCCAGCGTTGCCAGTGCGTGTGAGGACTGTCGCTTTGCCCCCGTCCCCCGCCATGCTGCACGCACAGCAGTCCCTGACATGGATTTAGCTTTTTTGCAGCGTCTCCAAACAGGTTACTTCAGATTTGCACCGTGGCATTTGCTCCCACCCTGCTAGAGTTGCATTCAGAGGTTGTGGGACTCGCCGCTGGTCGGAAGCTCCCCTGAAATGCTTGCTCCTTTCCTGGCTGGCTCCTTTTCACTTTGGGGAATTCTTTGCATGGGATCCTGAGACTTTCTGCTTTGTGCACATCTGAATTGTGTCTGCTCCAGAGAAACGCGAGGGAAAGACCAAGCCAGAGCCATTGCCATTCATTTCAACAGGGCAGAAGCCAGACATTCGCGCTTAGCAATGGGGAGAGACACGTCCGTGTGGAGTAACGTCTTGGCTTGAAAGTCTCCACCTGCTCTGCCCCACTTTCCTTAGGATGTCTGATTTTGGTGAACGAAATTTCTGAACCAAGAGCTCTAGGTTTTTGCGTTTGAATTTGGTAAGGTTTGTGGGATTGGAAGGGACCTCCAGCTTGGTGTCTCTGTGATGGCTGAATGACCAGTCACCCTGCCATGGACCCTGCTGAAATGCATGCTCAAGGAAGCCGTGTCCTCTGGACTGCAATGAGTGGGGTGTTCACAGTGCCTGACCTTCCCAACTCTTGGTTTGCTCTTTAGGTTGATAATCAGCATGTCACCCCGTGCAGGTGCAGGCTTCCAACCTGTTTCCCTGGGCGGGGGCCTGGGAGCCTAGCTGAGCCCATAGTTGGCCCTTAAGCACAGCTTCCCGGCCCAGAGCGCCTGTGGGTGTCTCTAATAAGAGCCACATCTGCTGCCCACTGCTCTCCCTTCACCACGAGCAAGAACCTTCCCCGACATCCCAACACAAGGGGATTGTCCACGTTTAGGGCTGCAGACAGACGAGGCTCTGCATTGTCTGGCTGCGCCTCGAGGCTTTTTATAGCAGACCCAAACCCAAGATATCACTAGTGGGAAAGATAACGGCCCTGGGAACTCGCACATCAGCGCATGCCATCTACACTTTACTTTCGGCAGTGCGGAGCACCCATCCCAGCTCCCGCTGCCAGAGCTGGGAGGATCAGGATGTCTAAACATCAGGCCGACAAAGCAAAAAGCTTTCCCTCTGCTACCTGCTCCCGAGTCTCCAGGCCCAGCCCTTGTCCCTCAGCTGAGCAAGGGCCTGGAGGTGGAGGAGTGTTGAGTCCATGGTTATGTATGTATTTGTTTTTATCGATGAAACCCTAATGGCTTCATTGCGTTTAAAGGGCAACTTCCCTTCCTTCCCTGTGCTCTGCCAAGATACGCTGACTGCCCCCGCTCAGACTCCGTGTGGAAGCGTGCGTCTTTAGCCATTGGCCCCTAAAAATAATTTATAAAGAGCCATCGCAAGACAGGGCTACAAAACGGAGCACAATCTACCATGAGACTGCTGGTAAGTGTATAGATGTCCTTTTTTTTCCCCCTTGTTGTGATCAAATGTTATATCCTGTTTATGGTGTTGCTATGGCAAAAGCAGACAACATCTGGAACAACATGAGTCCCGTCTGATGCTGATGAATGGCGCGGCGTTTATAGGCGAGGTAGCGGACTGTGTTGCTGGAATAGAAAACATCTGAGGAGTCCGACGTGCCAGGCATGATGGCACGACAGTAAGGGTAGGGTGTTGCAGGTGCGGCACGTTGCCTCTCCTCCCCGTTCTGCAAGAAAGCCTCGATTAGGTTGGCATGAGCTAAGGTCTCTTCCACTTACTGCATGGCCCTGCTGGCTGTCCGCCCACAAATGCTTGTTGACTAAAGGATAACGTGGCACGTTAAAGGCGGGCCATCTCTCTGACCCATTGCGTTCCCCTCCAAGGGCTGTCTCGCTGTGGGGACGGATCTACATTAGCAAGTTTTTCCCCTGATGCTCAGCTTAAGTTTTCCTTTGCTTAATCCAGCCCCATTGATCCTAGTTACGAACCTGTCCTGTAGCAGGCTTGGCTACGCCGACATGGGTAGAGGAAATATCCGCTCTAGTGCTGCGTTGTCGTTGGCTGTAAGTTTGCAGACACATGGCCAAGGCCAATGCAGGAGGCTAAAATAAAGTGCCTATAAAATCCTGCCAACCTATCCTGGGTGCTCAGACCTTTTATTGCAGTGCAGCGAGAGCCCTCGGAGGCACGAGGAGAAATAAGCCGATGACATGGCGGTTAGCTCTGCAGAGTGCAAAGGGTTTTATTGGTTTTTATTACCGAGTGCCTGGAGCAAGTCAATAGAGCGAGTCAATAAATGCCCTCCATTGTGATGGGTCCTGCGTGAGTGAGTGATGGGAAGAAAGAGGGAGCAGAGGCCTCTCCAGAGCCGAAAGCGGGAGGTTGTGGTTCGCACTCCTTTCAGATACCAACCAGCAGCTGAGAGGTGAGGGGGCAGCCCTCTCAAAACATGCCACCAGTCTGGATGGATACCCTCTGCCCACAAACAGGTGGAGCGGCAGGGCAGGCCTCCTTCCCAACCCGCTGGGCCCTAGCCCGGGTGTGGAAAGACCCCAACCGAGCAACCAAGCAGTAGTGGAGCGTAGGGAAGGGGGGAGCTTCAGTCCCCTTGGCCCGCTTCCTCCTTGCCCTGCTGCTGGGCATTCCTCTGGCAGGGGCAAGCATTAGATCCACTTGCTTTCCCTGCGCACCGTGTATCTGCCAGGCTGCTGCATTGTCAGCGCCCGGTGGAAGTTGTCAGAGGGAAGCTGGGAACTCGGGTAGCTGAGCAGAGGGCACGTGAAGCCGTCGGACCCCAGGGGCGGCTTGGGGTGAGCAGCGGTGGCCTGCAGCAGCGAGACAGCAGGCAGTCCGGATGCCCCGTGGACCATCACTCTGCCTCTGTGATATCCGGGGCAGCCTGCTCTTTCCGGCTGCGTGCAGACTCGGGCAGGTGACTGCCTCAGTCCTGTGTGGGTGGCAGGCCTGGCAGCCAGCAGGGCTAGGAATGTAAATGTTTTCCTCAATGGAAACTTCGATCCGGCGTTGGATGCACAGGCCAGAGAAGGTGTTTCCGAAGCAAATTCCATGGCTGCTTCAGACCATGTTTATGAGGACTTACAGGTGGGTCTTCTTGCGTCTGAAACCCTCTGCGGCCTCCAGAGTGGTGGGGTGTCGATAATGTCACGTACAGGGTATGTGGCTTGCAGACAGCAAGGGAAATGGGGCGGCAGAAGCCAAGCGTGGGGGGGTATGCACGCAGCTCTCACTTGCTGACAACACCTGCTCGTGGCTGCGGCGTGGGGAAGCTCTGCGGATAAGCAGGGGTCTGTCAGGCAGCGAGAGGCCCGGCTGGTCTGTCCCCACCTCCTCCCTGGCTTTGGGTGTAACATATTCCCTACATGTATTTTGCCACTGCCCTGTGCTCTCCAGCCACGCAGCGGTAAAGCGAGTGCAGCAGCAATTTCCTTTTATGCCTAGATTTAAAGAGCAGGCACGGCTCGCCCCACAGGAGCCCTTGTCTGGCTCTGCCAGGCGCTCGGTGAAGGGCTCTCCGGAGCGAACGCTCGAGGGGAGACGCTCGGTTGCAGAAGCCTGATGCTAGGTTGTGACGTCAGTTGGGGGATGACGTATGCCACCGTAAGGGGTTCAGGGCAACGTGGAGGAGACCAAATCTCTTTGACGCGCTGGATATCCAGCAGAGCAGGGACCCGCTTTGCAAACACAGCTGGCATCCCAGCTTGGTCACTTTATTATGCCAATTTTTTAATTGGATCCCGGTAATAGCACTATGGTATAGCTGTGGCCAATAAATCCACATGCAGTCTTCTGTTCACAAAGGTTTGTCCACTTCCCAAGCAGTGGCTGTTATTCTTAGATGACATCCCTGATGGAGAAAGGAGAAAGGCTCAGGCTTTAGAGACTGCAAGTTTGTTAGAGATGGGAAGCACTTGGGAATGAGGGAAAGAAATAGCCTGAGGGGACTGTCCTGACAAGACAAGTGCCTGGGAATCTGATGACTTGATCCTGGGAAGAAGCAGTCAGGTCTTAGGGCTTGTCACCCGCATCCCCACCTTCCACAAATGTGTGCCCAGGTGAAAGATGGGTTGGGAGCAGGGCGGTCAGAAGCCTGGTGTTCAGCGATCACTCAGAGCCAACAGACAGACAATCGTCTGTGGCACTCAGTGTCTCCGTTCTGACTTCTCAGCATTGCTTAGCCTTTGTACGACCTAAAGGTGAGTTTTGACAGCTCGCACACAAGCCTCTTAGACATACAGTCCCCTTCATCTCCCTTCCCAAGGCAAATGTGGCTGTGAACATTAGCGCAGCACAGGATTTCAAATACTTGAAATCAATCTATTGACTAAGCAAACTAGTGAGGCTTAGTCCTTGAGGTGCCACAGCCCTGCAGGCTTTCCCTGAGACCCCTACCACTCTTGTCTTGCTAAGTCTTTTAGTCCCGCGTCGTGGGGCTCAGCTCTCTCAGCCCCTTGTGGATGCTGCCTGAATGAGGCCAAGGCGGGCAACAGCTGGCTGAATGCCCCTTATCTCTTCCTCTGGAATGCGGGGGGGTGGGCGTTGCTTATTTCTTTGTAGTAGCATCCATCTGCCAGTCTCATGTGATCACAAGGTTGCCTCTTGGGTTCCCCTGCAGCATCCTGTGTAGAAGTGGGGGCAACTCCCGGGACCCCAGCTTGCACCGAAGGAACCCATGCCCAGGAGGTCTACTCTGTGATGAAGGATCCCTCTGTGCCAGCAGCGCTGGCGTCACTCTCTGTCCCTGCTCTGCAAAGGGATGGGAAGCATTGCTGTTCTTGCCCGTTTCTTCTGAATTCCAAGCGCTGTCATGGCTGGTGGCATTTGCCGCTGTGTGTCTTTCTCCATTTTGGGTGTGTGTGCGCGATGTGGATGCTGAGCTCCCCAGGCTTTCCTGCTACAGGTCCCTCTTGTTGCATTTGGGATTCTCTGTCACATGCATGGAGTCAGAATACCGCTCACCTTCCACAGGCTCCAGTCTGGACTGGATTATTTCTTATGCTCAGCAGATCGTAACCAGTTATCAAAGGGTAATTCTGCATGTTTTGGACTGTGTCTCTAAGGGTTTTCTCCCAAGTCCCAGGCCCAGTCAGAACATTTCTGCTACCTGCTTTCTTGCTAGTGGTCTGCTGCCTGCAAGGTACAGGGTAAAGGACTATTTGAACCCTCCCCAGTTGTCCTCTGCAGTTTTAATGGGGATTTCCAGCTGCTGCATTCTTCCACTTGGAGTGTTTTCTTAGTTATTTTGCTCCTGGTACTGAGCAGTGTTCAGCAATCACTCAGAGCCAAGGAATTGGATGGAGGAATGCTTCATTCAGCGCGTGAGTTCTGATTGGAAATGGGCAAGGTGAACTTCTGTGTAATATAAGAGCCAGGGCAGGTCTATACAATGGGACACAGGGCCTTGTGAAGATACAGGAACCAGCTCTGCACAAGTTAGCTCGCATACGAGAAGCAGGATGTGGCTGTCGCTCAAGGACAGCGTTCCCTCTCCCAGCAACTTCCCAGGCTCTGACCCCAGCACGCGGCAAGTTGCACTTGTTTTGAGCAGCCTCGAGGTGGATTTTAAGCCTCCCTCTGCTCATAACCGATGTTGTGTCTTGCTGTGAAGTGGCTGGAAAGGGCCAGCGCTGATAAATATTCCTCAGAGTGGGACTGGCCAGCTCCTGTGGCTCATAATGACCAGGATAAGAGTTGTTCATGTCTAGGCCACTGGTTCAAATCTGCCTCGGATCCATGGTGTCGGGACGTTATTGCCCTCAAGGGCTCTTTGGTGAAGAGGGCGGCATGGAGGGAAATCCCTGGTTCACAGAAAGCACCAGCTCTAATTGCTCCTCTCCTTGGCAGTGACAGCATAGAGGCCAAGGACTGAACAGGGCCAGGGAGAATGACCTGTTCTGCTGCTCCTGTTTCATTGTTTCATAGTTGTTAGGGGCTGGAAGGGACCTTACAGATCATCGGGTGCACTTGGGGATGGCTTTGGGTCGGCTGCAAGGTCCAGCAGCAGACCGAAGGTTTTCCTGAGCTACCCCCATGGTGTGCACAGAACAGGATTTTCATCCTCCAGATCTATCCTTCCAGTGCCATTTCCCCTTGCCACTGTCCCTCTGCTCGTCTCAGACTGCTTGCGCGCGAGGCTGACTTTCACTGGGACCTCTTCCCTGTCCTCCGACGGCAGGTGTGGGGAGCAAAATTTTCCCAGCGAGGAGACTTGAGCCCCCTTGCTGCCTCGAGAGCAAGCCCAGACCCCCGTGCAAACCAGGAAGCATGGAGGTGTGCAGCGTGGGGTCTGGTTTACAGTCACTCACTGACTTAAGGGGTTGCTACACGTCTTTATATTCCCACTTGGGCTCCCTAGAGACATGCGAAGAGGGAAGCCTGACACCTCGTAGGCCATAAAAGGCAAAGAGCCTGGGCGAGCCTATGGGAGAGAAGCAGGTCACTGGGAGGCATTTCACCATGAGCTGCAATGTCAGGCATTCGGGCTGTATATAAATGGATTAGGATTCTTTAAAGATCTCTCTCTCTCTCCCCTCCCTCCTACCTCATTCTCGGGAGAGTTTACAGGAGCCTGTTTGGCAGGGGGAGGAACTTTCTGCATGAAGGTTTGTCTAACGGTGCCCGGCACGTTAACGAGGGTCTCGATTAGCTTGGGGTTTCTGAATCTCTTTAGGGAATCTTGATTTTGAGGCTGGTGTCGGGCTTGTCTGTTTATCTCGCAAATGCTTTGATGCCACAGTAATTCTTCTAACAATAACATATTCCTGCAGATAATTCCAGCCAATCTCTTTCTGCCCTAAATAGTCTGTGCACAGTGCCTTCCCCAGGACGCTGGGATCCAAACCAAGGCCCCGGCGCCAGCCTGCGCTGCGCACAGCTTCCAAGGAAGGAGTGGTTGGGCAGAAGGGGGGTGTGGTAACTAGACTCCCGTTAAACTCCCAGCAAGTGCACGACCACTGTGGACATGCATTTCCAAGCTCTCCATGAGACCCGATGGAAGCTGAGCCTGTCCCGAGAGGAGTGACCAGAAATGACCTGACTGCAAAGAGTCAAAGCAGCAGTGGAGATCTGGGAAACCCTCTGAAGTTAGGGTCACGGTCACTTGGAGGAAAGGGGGAGGGGAAGCGGAAGAGGACACAGACCCTGCTTGCGAAGGGAATGCGTCGGCTAGCAAGAAATCGGTGGATGTCGGCTGTGCTGACAGCTGTTCAGGTAGGGTAGGTCTGGCAAGCGCCCAATGCTGCAAGCTCCTTTGTCAGGAGCTGCCACCCTGCCCTGCCACGAAGCATGGACTCCGGCGTGCCAGGCTTTGCTGCCCATCTCCACCACCTCCGACTCTAAGTGATGCTGATTCACATGACCTGGGAACCGAAGACTCCCAGCAGTCCGTGAAGTAAAGGGAAGGCGGTGCTGGAACCGCTATAGACACCCACGGTGGTGAGAAACCTCCATTTCAAGGCATTTGCCAGCACGCCGGGATGGAAGCCTCGACCTGGCGCTACTCCGGCTATTTGCTTGATAGCAAAAGTCAGACGAGAGAGCAAGACTCTCTTCTCCCTAGGGAAACCTCCAGGGTGAAACACAAAGATTATGCTCTGTGGAGTAAGAAGGAAGTCAGCCGGGAGGACCTGTGGTTTGAAGCGGAGCCAGGCGACCCCCTGGATACCGGTTACGACGTGCACGTCTCTACTAAAAAGGTGCAGATGAGCAAAAGGGTGTGCGAGAGCCGATCCGGGGGGCTGGTGGCAGAGGAGTCGTGCTTGGAAGAACGGACTATAACGAAAGGAAGTGGGAAGAGGTTTGTGGAAGGCGAAGCCTCGATGAAGGTGGTGGAGATGCAGCTCAGCCGGCCACACTTGGCAGAAGGGCCGGAGAGCAGGAAGGTGAACCCCATTGTTTATAGGCTGGAGGAAAATGAATTCAGCATCTGCGGTCAAGAGGGGGAAATTTCTCCTTTTGCCCATCCGGAGCCTGCAGGGAAAAGGGAAGTGACAGAAAACAGAGCCCCACAGGTGCCGGGAAGCCTCGGGAGCGAGCCGGCAGCAAGCACGAGTGGAAATATGATCAACACTTTCCAAGGAACCCTGAGGAAACAGATAAGCCGCTCGGACTCGGAAAGCAGCACAGAGAGCAGACAAGTGAACAGACTGACATTGAACTCTCCCTCCGAGGAATTTAAACCCACTGTCCCCACCAGATCAGATAGCTGGGGGAGAGGAGCCTCAGCAATGGACTGCGCGCTGCAAAGCAAGCAGGGCACGGCAGCTCCATCTGCCTCGCACGCCCTCCAGGACAGCAGCGATCAAGGAGGAAACTTCAGGCAGACAATTAATGCTGCCCCTCAGCCCGAAAGCTTCGCAGACCACCGCCCAAGTGGTCAGACTTGCGCAAAGGATCCACTGGGAAAGCCAGAGAAAGTTGAGCAGGTAGTGGTCTCTGCCATTGCAAGCTGCACTGTGGTCGCTAGAGATGCTGACACGGATCCAAGAGGGAACAGCGGCCTGGGCCTTGAGAGCAGAGGAGGTTTTGGAAGTGAGGCTGAGATGGTGGGGTCCGACTCGAACAGCCAGGGTAGCTGCTCGCCAGCCCCCAGCCTGCAAACCAAGGAAAGCCTGGCAGTTGTTCTTAGCAAGGCCGTCACAATGGCAGGGGTGCTGCAGGAACTGCCCCGCTGCCCAGCCAAAGCCAGCAAAAACCGGGCAGAAATCACATTGCAGAGCAATGCAATAAAATTAACAGGAGAGAGGGTCCCAGGCCAGGATCTCGCCCAGCAAGAGCAGAAAGTGAGGAGAAATGAAGAGGACGAAAAGGTGCTGAAAGTGGCTGATGTGAAGAAAACCTTTGAAAAGCACAAGTCGGCAGAGGGGAAAGCAGCAGCACCTCCACCCAATCCTGCGAGAAAAGGTGAGATATGTTAACTGCTGGGGTGGTTGGCTTGCAAGAAGCTTATCTGTGTCGTAGCATCAAATTTCACAGCTTAGCGTAAAATAACCTGCAGGTGGGAGTTCGGTGCGGAGATGAGTCTGATGCGCTGGGGTTGAGAAGCTCTTCAGAAAAGAGCTGTCTGAGAAAAATGGAGCAGCAGCTGTGGTCCATTCACAGCCAACTGCCCTCTAGCACAGCTCCCCAGTGAGGATCCCAAAGTGGTTTGATGCAGTCACATTCCCAGGAAAAATGCAACCTGAGGTGACAGCTGTTTGGTGAAAAAAGAGCCTTCTCCGTATAAATGTTTCCTGCAATGACAGCAATAATACCAAGCTGTTATAGAGTGTTTTTCGTCAGTCGCTGGTCATAATGCATGCCCTGTGATACCATTCTTCTTCCACCTTCTCATGTACTCATTCTGCCTCCGGACTCTGGGGGAACAGCTTTTCTTTGATTTATTCCTGTTGGTATAAGATTGATTCCCCCCCACTAATTCTTTTTATCCTTCTGGTGCGATTCAGCTGCACAACTCTCTTTTGAGAGTCAGATTGTATTAACATGAAGCTAAGGGCAAACATAGATTGTTAAAATGAAACCAGTAAAACCGTGGGTGAGACGGAGACTTGAGATCAAGCTAGAAATGAACACGTAGATTTGTCAGTGGGATGCTGCTGCTGTTCTGCAGAACATTGGTTTTCAACCTGTTTTCATTTGCAAACCCCTAAAAATGTGGAAGGGGGTGCGGACCCCTTTGAATTGTAAGTGTGGGTATTCACACACTTTTGATCGATCGTAGTCATCCTTGGTGGACCTTTTGCAGACTCCGGAGGTCCATGGACCACTGCTGTCGAACTATGTCGAACAGTTCACATGCCCTGGCTATTGTGTGAGCTGGTGGGTTTTTGTGGATTTTACCTACAGGGAGAGCATACGGTTTAAGACGTAAGAATATTTTGTATTAGTAAATGGTATTTAAAAGGAGGTCTCTGCTCTGTATATTATGTTGCTATAGACACCTGTGCAAAGAACCAACCCAGCTTGCCCAAATGTCAGTGATGATACAAAGTGCCTCAGCAGTGGAGAGTCACAGGCATGTAAAGCCCCGTTGCTGCAGGTTCTCAGGAAAAGAAACAGGTGCATCACGAAATGTGTGCAGTAGTGCAAGTTATCGATAACCAGAGAGACTAGCATCTCTCATGCCGACTCCTCTCCTGGGGCCTGGGTTATAGTCTGGACCGTCATCTTTTACTCACCTGGCGTTTTGTCCGACCCAAATAGCACAGCCCGGCTGGAAAACTCGCATGCTAACTTACCAACTGATTCTGAAGCAGTGGTGCCAGGCCAGAGAGGCATGCAGCATTTGGGGGAATAGAAAGGGCAGGTGGATGCAATAGGTCTTCTTCCAGCTATGTCTAGAGCTATAGGACAATGGCCCATCATTTTGCCACCTTTGTGGTCCCATCTATTTAAAAATCAAAAGAATTCATTAAAAAATGCATCCATCTATCCATGTAGCCACTTGCTGTTGGAAATGTATTCTGCTTTTAAATCATTTTTCCTGACTCTCTGGTATCTCTCCCTAGCAGTACTGAACTAGAAACATAAGGATGAGGTGAAAGAGGAATTCAAAATAGGTGGACTAATCAGGACGTAGATATTGAATATAGCAAATTTAATTAAAAAAAAATGCTACAAGAATAACAATGTTAAATCCACCCATTATTGTTCATTGCCAAAAGCCTCTGGTTCCCATACAGAACCTGGCTGATTTTTTTTTCCTGTTCAGCACAAGAGGAAAATATTGCTTCAAAGATATTAATTTAAAAAAGAAAACACTTATTTTTTCCTCTTCTTCTTTTTTGTGTTCTGCTTTCTGGCCTTTCTCTTTCCCGTTAATCATCTGTTACATCTAAGAGAGGCAACAAAGAACCTCCATCTGTTGCAATCAGTTGCTTCATTTTTTTTTTTTTATCTAGTGTCCCAACATTTTAATTAAGAATTAGGACTGAAACAAAAGGAAGGACAAAAGTACTGAGCTGGGGACTGTGTGAGGGAAAAGAAGACCAGTAAAGCACTCTAGGGATGCAACTGCCTTCAATTTAAATATACCTTTCATGGGGAAGCATCTCAAAACCTTTTTCAAATTATAGATAGGGAGTGTGTTTCTAAAATGTGCAAGAGCTATGTATCCATGCATTATACATGCCTGTCTGTGTACTGTAATATAAATTGTACCTTATTATATAATGTACTTCAAAGCGATCTGGATCAATAACCTTCTATTCACGATCCTGAATACAGTTCCTAATGATTTCATATGTATTTATAATACCGTGCACTTCCTGGCCCTTGCCACATTGCTCTTTCCAAGCAGCGTGCTAATTGCATAATTGCAAGCACTTAAGTCACTCCACTCATTCCAGTAGACTCCAGCATGCCACCCTTGGGAGGAGGTTAGTTGGGCTACTTTTCCACTTCCCAGATGGGGAACTGAGTCACAGAGTTGAAGTGACTTGCCTCAGATCAACCTGCAGGTCAGTGGCAGAGATGAGAATAGCCCCTTCTCCCCGCTCCCTAAAATGCTGACATCTTGCCCGTGTGCCTTAACCCTCACATTTGTCCTGCCTCCCTGACATGAAAGTCCTCATCTCTTTCCTGTGCTTTCCGGGGCACTTTTTTTTTTTTTTTTTTTTTTTTTTTACCAAATGTATCTGAGATTGCTCCAGTTATCCCCATTTCATTATTCTATAGCTCCCCTTTCTGGCCAAGAATTGAATGAATCCTGAGGCCAAACCATATAGGTTTCTCTCTCTCTGTCTCTGAACAAATGCTTTGCTAGATCTGGGGAACAGATCACCACAGGGCAACATTTCCTTGTGAAGGCTTTTTAAAATGTGTAATGGTTTTACCACATTCAAGAGCTATGGTGTGTTGACTTTCAGCAGTATTTTTAGCTTGGCAGCTGCTGAGCATATGACAAGCACTGCAATGCCTCCCCTGAAAATAGACTGGGTAATGGCTTTAATGAAGCTGCCCCCACCTTTGATATGTGTCTAACGCAGGGGCGGGCAATTATTTTGGGCGGAGGGCCGCTTACTGAGTTTTGGCAAGCCATCGAGGGCTGCATGACAAGCAGCCAGGAGCAGATCAATATTAATTTTCTAAATATTTTTAGGGGCCCTGCAGGCCGGATAGACTGGCCTGGCGGGCTGCATCCAGCCCACGGGCTGCATTTTGCCCACCCCGGTCTAATGTATACTGAAGACTGCAGCGTAAAAAGTAGTGCTATTACAAACACATAGAACTGGGTCTTGTTTCTTAAAATGTAGCCAATTTAGGTCTCTGCATTAGAGATTTGAAAAAGAAGCCTTCATTAAAAAAAAACAACCCAACAAAAACCTACGAAAAAATGTAAGTCCCTAAATCAGAGGGAGATGTCATCTTACATCACTGACTTAAATGAGCTCTCCTCCGAGTGCTGGATTCGGCCTGCATATCGATGTCTTGTTCTGAGGAATAAAAAGACATAATGGCCTGAGTTAAGGACCGAGCAATGTGTTGTTGAGCATTGCTGTCATTGAAGAGTTGGGGGTAGGGGGGAGGTGTGCATGCGTGTATTTAACCAGCTTTAAGAAGCAAATGAATAAATAAATACCCATCACAAACGCCCTGGAAAATCTTATAACCTGGTACTTCCATAATCAGGAAGTGCTAAAGCTAAACCATCACGTCTGGCATATTTTGTGTGACTCGGGAGTTAAGCTGCAATATGACAGGACTGCCAATGGCTGAGCTCCTTTAACCCCACTCAAAGCCAGTTTTCTTCATTCAGAATATATTTAGCAGGGAGGAAACTCGGCCCAGGAGTTTAGAGCATATATCCACATGTTTGGGCCAAACTCAGCCTTGAGGTTGCCCCTCTGGCTCTGAACGACTGGGTTGAGACTTGTTGTCCGTCCAAGAGCAGATGCAGAAACCAGTCCATCCCTCCCGCCAACCCCAAATGCACAACGGCAAGGTCAGACAGGCTGAAGAAACCTCTCCTCCAACTGAATGGAGCTGCCTCGGGCATTACATCTGTGCTGTCAAAAGTTACTTCTCTTGAACACTGTTCCCTGCAACGTATACCCTGAGAAAGATGGGAGCTACCCAAGGCCCTCAAGCAACCATTCTGTCCTGTATTATTTTTCCTTGTAACATGTTTTTTCCACTTATGCGTGTTGTCCTTAAAACACCCATAAACATACCGTTATGGGTACGGAGCGGATATAAGGGTTTGGACAGGAAGAGAAAGCTCGGAGCATGGCTTGTGGGTCTGCTGTCCATTGCAGCTTCGGAGGAGCTGGGTGCAGGACTCCCGAAAATCACAACCCGCATACCCTCTTTTGTCAGAATAATGTGACTTATTTTGCAAGGGAGTTGCTTGTAAAGAACACGGTGTGGACAGAGTAGCGTGATGTCGCGCTGATGGGACAGATACAGGTTAAATTTAGCAGCTGATATGAGCTGCAGAGGTGCGGTCACTGTGGTTCGATTTGCTCTGCTCCGTTTCTGTATAAAGATAAGATAGGACGAGAGTCAGCGTTGTGTCACACCTCCACGCATACCTCCACCTGGAGTCGAATTTGTAGCAACCAGGCGGAGTTTGATTTCTAGCAACCTGGTAAACTCTTTGGGACTAGGACAGCCTTAGCGGAACTCCTTCCGGCTGCATGAATTTGCTAGTATAATATAAACCTTGGAGGGAGAAAATAGCCTTGGATGTGTGAGTTGAACACTTTTTATATATATATTTTAGTGTTTAGGCTAATGTGGCTGGGAGCAGCAGCCCACTAGCTAGAACAGTGTAGTCCTGCCAGAATAATTAAAATAAGTGCCCTTCATTTCTTGCGGCGTGCTACCTTGTATGGTGATCTGGTCAGACTTAAGTGGCTCGTTGTTGCGGGTCAGAGTTTGAAGGCACTTTTGCAGCTCTGCCT